AGAGAGAGAGAGAGAGAAAAAGAGGACAAGAGAGTGTGGGGGGGAGGAAGAGGTAGGGGCAGGTTGGGTGGGGAAGGGGAGTGTGGGAGGGCAGGGAGAGTTGGGTTGAGGGTGAAGAAGGACAAGAAAGAAGTTAAAACAAAATTAAAAGGAAAAATATTTATACAGCACCAGACCACAGCATCAATCTAAAAGCTCTGATGAAAGAACAGCAGTCAAATCATAAGAGAACTGAAAAGAACTCAAAGGATGGAGGAAGCCAGCAGACAAAGGACATGGTCACGTCAATACACACACACACACACACACACACATACACGCACGGTTGTTTATGCAGACACATGATACGCTGTGAACAGTAGCAGAACCTCACACAGGGCCACTAAGGGCATCCATCATGCGTAGGGGAGAGGAGGGGGGCATGGGTGGTTTGGCGAGGGGGCCAGAAAAAAGTCAAAGAGCCCCTCAAACCACCTTGGCTGGCAAGCAGATTTCAGGAGCAAGCGCTCTGTTTTTTATCACCCTTGATCTTTCTCTATCCCCGGGGTGCAGAACTCTCACCTCCCCAGCTTTCTGTGGCTTTGGCCTGTGACCAGCAGGGGGAGCCTGTCAGAGTGGCCCTGACTCGCTGGGTAGGTCAGCTGCTGGCTAAGGTGATTGGGTGCATCAGTGGGACCCATCCATGAAACACTGTGCTGCCAAAGGACAGTCCACACTGACAGCACCTTGTTCTTCCCGCCCATCCTCAGAGAAGGGTGCCACAATGCAACAGCACCCACTGTGATGGGTGATCCTCTCCCCTTCCACTCTGCCTCAACCCTCTTTCCTCAGAACCTTCAGAAAGTCAACATGTTTAGTTTTGAAATGTAAACGAAATTACATAAGTGTTTTGGAATTCTATAAACACATCTTGGCACTAGTGATGTCATTTCATAATCACCTCACATCCTTAGCTTTGCTCCCAGGGTGGCCCACGTGGCCAAACTGAGGCTGCTTCCCGGCACATGGAGCTCCTAGAAGGCTCTATAGCTCTGACCCATAAAAGGCCCACGTGGAAGGCTGTAGTGTCTGTCCCCTGAAGGGTGGGTAATACAAAAAAACAACAGGTAGTGCATGGGAGAAGTGAAAGCTGTGGCCCTGGACCTCGTTCCTGCTGCTGTCACTGTGACTCTGCTGCCCTCCCTCCCCTGCCTCCTCCCCATTCTACCTTGGCTCCCCTCCAGGCCCCTCTTTCAGGCCCTGCCCTGCTTTCTTTACTAGGTGGGTGAGTCTGAGAGTCCTTCAGCTGTCAAGCATCGTCATATTATTTGGCTTTGAATAATGTCTTTCCACCCCTCACCATTTCAGGGTCCTTTGCCCCCACCGTGGAATTTGAGGGCTCCCCCCTGACTCCCCCCTCAGGGCCCTCCTTGGGCTTGTCCCCTACCACCTAGCCACCTACAGTGCTTGGGCCTGTGCCCAAACCCATGCAGCAGGCTTATTTACAGGGTTTCCAGTCCACAGGCTTCTACACTGCAAGGACTTTGTGTTCACCTCCAGGGAAGGTACAAGGCAGGCCTAGGATCTTTAGGCTAAGCCCTGAAGTGGCTGGGAGGTGACTCTATTTTGAGCCTAAAGCCAGCCTCAGGAGCTCTGGTAGCATAGTGCCTAAAGCATTTGACTGCTAACCAGAAGGCTGGTGGTTCAAACCCACCAGCCACTCCTCAGAAGGAAGGTTGGGCAATCATACTTCTGTAATGATACTGCCTCCGAAACCCAAGGAGAGGTCACTATGAGTCGGGGCCAACTCGATGGCACGTAACAACAACAACAAAGCCAGCCTCAACCATCCTAGACACATTCCACAGCTCTCTTCCTACACCCTGCTCTGCCTGCCTAGCCAGGCTGGGTTCTTTGTTCTCCCAACATCAGATTCCCCTCACCCAGACCAGGTCCCACCACGTACCCACCAACCCTGAAATGCCCCCCTGCACCTCCAAACACCCCCCCAAAAGGTCTTAGACCCACCCAGCATGCCCAGTTGGCAGTGTCTCCCTGTGGAGTGGGAGAAGAGGCCTCAGGAAACGAGGAGTGTTAGGTGGCAGCTGTGGCAGCTGCAGCTAAGGAGCCCGCAGGGAACTCCCTCTTTCCCACTCAGCACCAGCCCAAAGCATCCGTCCGCTCCCCACCACCACCAATCCCACCCTATGCTGTGCTCCTTGTCACCCTCCCACCTTCTGTCCTGGTGCCCTTCAGTGTCCAGGCCTCATGCCAGGCACTAGGCATCCAAACCTGAATAGCACACCACAGCTCTCTCCCTTCCACTCAATTAGGGGACTTTCTCAGTTATACACACAGTTTACACAGCCTCTTCTCTCACACACACTTGGCCCCAGATGCACAAACACACACTCAGACTCATTCGGTCCCTAAGGGCCCTCCCCTAGGATCCTGCATGTGCACAGCTTGTTCCTCTATTCGATGTGGAGCAGCTGCGCCTTGGTCTGCATGGTCGCCCCTCCCAGCCTCCCTCTGGTGAAGAAGCCTCAGAGCTCAGCCTCAGAACTGGCTGTGACATCACTGACCATTGAAGGGAAGCTCCAATGCACTGACCTAATTATGGTCAGGCTGAGCCGATCCAGATATGAGGTCATGAAAAATAGCTAGGCTCCAGGCAGAGAGATCCCAGATCTAAAGTTAAAGCCTCCCTGCCCCCATAGGCCAGTATCAAAGCACCTGTGCTTGCAGAGCTCAGACCAGACACTGAGCAAAAGCACAGTGAAAGTCCAAGTCCAGGGCCCAGAAGAGACAGGACTCCAGCTGGATTTGGATGAGCTACACAGTGTGCTTTCCAATTGCAGAAAGGCAGTGCTGGCAGCATGAGGACCCCTCTATCGGCTCGGGCCCAGGGTGCTCAAGCAAGCAAGCAAGCTCAGGGATCCAACAGGGGACTTGGAGACCAAGCTCTAAGCTGGGCAGGGGCATGTGGGGTGTTCTGCTGTCACATAGTGACCAGGACCCCATGCCCTGTGAACCCCATCCATGTTTTTGCCCACTCGTCCTGCCTCTGCTTCCTTGCCCCCAGTTTCCTGGTAAAGCTTTCTTGGAATCACTTCTGTCTTAGATTGGGACAATGAGCCCAAGCAGCCAGAGGGGTAGGAGTGAGAGGAAGTCAGGAAACCATTTACCCCCTCACCCTTCTGCTCCAGGCTATGGCTGTACCCTAGTCCCTACTCAGAGCTTACCACAATGAGCTCTAAAGAGCTGTCCTCCTGAGCAACTATGGCTGTGGTTCTGGCCTCATGCTTTGTAAACAGCCTCTGTGTTCTCAACTGCTTTGTGCGCTATGTCCTCCCTTGTGGGCAGCCTGACAGTAGTCACCTGTCACTGTAGCCCCCAAGCCTGACTTGAGAAGCCCCTTATCTCTTCTTAGGACCCTCCTTCTACTACAGCTTCTAACAGTCTTGAGTTGGGAAGCCTGAAAGCACCATTGGTTAAAATACTGTCCAAATGAAAAGGCCCTGAGAAATTAAAGGCCAACTTTACTGTCAGACTTCTGTCACACCACAGTAAGTAGGTGACCCCAAAGAAGTGAGATGTCATTACATGTCCCCTCTGTCATTCCAGACACTGGTGTGGTGGGGCTGAGGGTTAGCATGGGGGTAGGTTCTATCATTCTCTTTACTTGAATGGGTTAAGAACATGGCCTCTGGAACTAGACCTCTTGGCTTCAAATCCTGGCTCTACCCCCTATGTAAAATGGTAATAATACAACCTACCCTATAGGTTGTTGTCTATAAGAACAGCGTCTGGTGCAATGGCAGGCACCATAGAAAGGGCTGTAGTTCTTAGCCTTCCAAAGGGCCTTCAGATTCTCCAGGGGAAGAACCCATGCTGCTTTTTAAACTACTACTCCCAACCCCCACTCCAACTCTGACAGGCCCTACCCTGTGGACTAACTTTATATCCCAAATGACAATCTTGCCTTCCTCACCACCTCATCTGGGAATGTCTTAGATCTATCTAGAGGTTTTAATCTTGATTGGGTTTTAGCTGCAACCAGGCCTAGGAGGCTAAGACAAGTTGCATGAGTGGAGGGACAGAGGAGTGGGGAGCCTAAGCTGGAAGGGCCCAAAGGGTGCCTGCATCTCTGGTGCACCCATATGTTGAGCACTGGAGGAGGGGGTAGCAGTGGAGGGAGTCAGGCTAAAGGTGGGCTTGTGACACGTCCCCCTGCTCCCCAGGAAACCACTTCACTCAGGGAACATTTGTCCTGGAAGAGTGGCTGTGTCTCCAGTCCTGGACAGGACAAGGTGACCACCCCCCACCCACCATGACCCACATGAAGTGGGGAGAGTAAAGGACCCCTCCCTCCTCAACTTTTGTGCCATCTTACTTTGTCTGTTTGGGAAAGTTCCTTCTGAGAAGGCCTGTCTCTCCTCTCCTATACAGGTAATTGGAGGGGGGAAGGGGATAAGTGCCTGAAGGGCTGCCAGCTCCCCTGACAGAGCTGGGGAGAGGAGAGCGGGGAGTCTGGAGAGGGCCCTAGCCGGTGGCTTTTGCTCTCCTCCGCAGAGCCTGCTCCGCCCCCAGACCCTCCTGGTCCTGAACTCGCCATCTGCTAACCCCAGGACTTTCTGGCAAACAGGATTGCCAGTGCAGACCTGGAGGCGCAGGTCCCCAACTCGCCCCGTTTTCTCCGGGTGGCTCCCTCCTTCCTGGCCCCCTCTCTCAAGCCCAGCCCTCAGGGTTCTTGACCCTGCGGCAAGGGGATGGCCGTGCCCATTTCGGCAGGGGTGAGCGGAGCTGTGCGCCTGCCCACAGGCACCGGGCCGGGAGCAGGTGGAGCCGAGCGCATCGGGTCCAAGGCACAAGCGAGGGTCCGGCCCGCAGAGGCCGGAGGAGGCGGCGGGTCCGTTTGGTGTCCCCTCCCAACCCCCCCTCCCCCGTCCCCGCGCCCCGGCCGCCCCCGGTTACCTGTGCGAGTCCTGGTCTCCCCCGGGGGACGCTCCCGCCGGCGCTCAGTACGGGCGATTGGCGTCTTTGGGCCGCTTCAGCTGCACCTTGAGCCTCTTCATGCCGATCTGGAAGCCGTTCATGGCCTGGATGGCAGTCTGAGCGCTGGCCGGGTTGTCGAAGCTCACGAAGCCTGGCGAGACACGAAGGACGAGGGCCTGGGTTTCCACAGGGCCACCCCGGGGCCGCTCCCGGCCCGGAAGGGGGAGGAGGTCCGCGAGGCTGCAGGGCGGGGCCGGGAAGGCCGCAAGGCCCCGCCTCCCTCTGGACTCCGCCCCCGTCACCGGCCCCGGCCTCTGCGCCCCGCGGGGCCACGTGCCCGCGCCCCCTGCAGCCCGCGTGCATGTGACCCCTCCCGGGGCGGGCGTTTCCGAGACCCCGGCTGCTCGGTCAAGCCTCGCCTTTGGCCGGCGCCACTCTCCAGGGCGCCCACTCCCCCAGTGAGCGCCTGCGGCGTGAAGGGGCTTGGAGAGGCGCCCACCCCCCGCCCCGGCCGGCCCCGGCACCTCAGCCCTCTCCTGCGACTAGGAAAGGGCGGACACACCTGCGGGTGGAGGAGTTTATTGGACACTGTCCTCCCTGACAGGAGGGGGCCTGGCAGCGGGAGGGCACAGGGTGCCGGCCTGGGGAGAGAGAGGAGTGCGAGGGGGACGGAGGGGAGGCACCACCACAGAGAACATCTCCACGGGCGTTTCTGGCCGCCCCCCTCGCGGGTGCGGCCTGGCTGTGCAAGAGGCCCAGAGGTCACGGAGTCCTAGCCACCCTCCGCCCCAGCTCCTGGTCCTCTGGCCAAGGCTGCCCCAGCCAGTTTCCTGGGTGAACACCAGGCCAAGACTCCACCCAACTGACATTAACCCTCCGCGTCGCACCCAAGTGCCCTGGTGTCCTGCGTGTGGTTAAAGAGCTTGGCTGCTAAGGCTGCTAACCGAAGGTGGGTGGTTGGAACCCATTCTGTGGGAGAAAGATGACGCAGTCAGCTTCCCTAAAGATTTACAACCTTGGAAACCCTATGGGGCAGTTCTGCTCTTTCCTATAGGGTCACTATGAGTTGAATTCAACTTGATGGCAGTGAGTTTTTTTTGTTTTGTTTTGTTTTTGGGGGGTTTACAACCAGGGAATATCAGCACCTCCCAAGCCCTGGACTAACCAAGCACTGATATGTCCCCTATGAGCCTCTCAAGACATCTATAATACTAAAAGTTAGTATTATTATTAAAAATGAGTGGAGAGTCATCTGTGTACTAGGGACTGCAGAAGTGCTTCTCATACTCCCAGAATCCCAAAAGCCCAGGAAGGGATATAGAACCATCTGTGACTCCCAAATCACCTTCTGAAACAAGCAGCTCCCACAGTGGGATGGGTCATGTCCTAAAAGTTATTTGGAAATCAGCTTTTGGGATCTGCTTATAGAGGCACCACTTTACATCAGCATTTCCTAAACAGGCCCAACTCCTAGAGAAAGGGGATTTTGTGGGCAAATGTATAGCCAGGCACCTCTGGGACAATGCCTGAGGCATTTGACTGCTAACCAGAAGGCTGGCAGTTTAAAACCACCAGCCACTCCTCGGAAAGAAGATTGGGCAATCTACTTCTGCAGAGATACTGCCTCAGAAATGCAAGGAGGGGTCGCTATGAGTCGGGATTAACTCAATGGCAATGATTTTTTTTTTTTTCAACCCCAATTTCTCCAGTAAATAAACTTGTATAGCTTTGTTTAATGTAATACTTTCTTGAATGTATTTGACTTAAAGAGGGCTTTCCCCCTGTAGAATGGACTTAGATCATGCAATGTAGCATAGTGGCTAAGACACTTGCCTGCTAACCAGACGGCTGGCGGTTCAAACCCACCAGCCACTCCTCGGAAGGAAGGTTGGGCAATCCTACTTCCGTAGTGATACTGCCTCGGAAACCCAAGGAGGGGTCGCTATGAGTCGGGGCCGACTCGACGGCACATAACAACAACAACAACAAGCTTGGATATGTTCTCAGACCGACTCGCAAATGTCCTTCAGGGTGTTTGTCCCCAAATAGCAATTAGATATATAAGGGATAGCAGTATAGACAAACCCCATATGAAGTAGAATCTGTTTCTTGGTTAATTATCTACGGTACCTCAGGCCTTCCTATGATTTCTCCACTCTCCCCAGACTCCTTCCATCACTCTCCTCACTGGGTGACTCTCTTTTTACTTCTGTCCCAGACACTGCCTCCATCTACCCTCTTTTCTCCTTTTCTTGTCTCCTCCCCACTTTGCTCACATTTGCTCTCTTGAAGCCACATCCCATCAAAGATGGGAGGGGAGGGCAACAGTGTGCACGTGTTTGTACACATGCGTGCACACACGTGTGTGATGAAATTGGTCACAGCCCAGTCCAGGACAACATAACCCATCCCTATATACACCTCTGTATCAAAATCAATAACAAAGGTTTGGGATTATCCATAGTTGAAGACACTCTCCAGTCATCCTTCCTCCTCCTCCCTCTCATCTTGTTCTAGCACCTTCCACCTGGTCCACTGGCCTGTATGCCTGTTGACTAAAGCCAAGTCCTTAGCAGTCCAGAGCAGCTTTCAGATGTATGAATTGTGCATTTACACCTGCCCAGGATAAGGTAGCCTGACTGCAGGTGACTGCAGTACCCCCCTCTTCTGCTGGCCCACTAGCACCGAGGCTCCAACTCTACCTGGCCACCTAGACTTGGTGGCTCTCTTTTTGCAGGAAACAAGCAAAGCTGGGAGGAGATGGGAGAAAGATAAAAGGGGCTGGTGGCAGTGTCTGGGGAGGAAGTAAAACCAGACCAGCATATGGGGAGAGCAACAGGGAGGAAAATATGGAGATGGAAAAAGTCGCTGGCAGGCCCAGCCTTTGCAGAGGAGTTTAAGGCTCATGGGAGATTTCCTTCCTCCTCTAGTTCTGATGGTTAACTGGCTAGCAGTTGTGTAGGGGCATGTTCCTCTCCCATAGACTGTCTGTACCAGTCACTACCACCCCCACACACACACCATGGGCAGGGCTCGGCACCATCTCCCACATTTCCAGTTTCTCGGACTATCTTCCTTCTCCCAGAGCCTCCCACTTCCACCCCTGTCCTCATTGAGGAAGTTCCTGCCTCCCAGACCATGAGAAGCAGTGGTGGTCCCCACCTTCCTTCTATGTAGGGTTCTAGCTGCTCATACACTCACAAGAGCCTCTCAAAGATTCTGTTTTTGCTCATAAAGATGAGCAAGGCTTTTGAGAGACTTATCTTAACATAGGGCCACTATTATGGTGAAAATGGTGCCTCCTTTTGGGCACAAAGGGGACCATAGCACTTCTTGAGGCCAAGCCCCTCACATAGACCATCTGATAAAACTGATGGCATCCCTAAGGGATGTCTGTGAAAGTCTCCATCTCATTAACAAAGAAATTGAGACTCAAAGAGTTAAATGATTTGCCCATGAGTGCCAGAGGCTGCTGGGATAGCTGTAGAAGTCAGACTGAGAGAACCCAAGTGGTATAAGGAGAAACGGCTGGACTAGACCAGCACAGGGGAACTTTCCTACTTCAAGGTCAGCGAATGTTTAGCACTAGAAGTGTGTTCAAGAAGGCAGGAGAGAGCCCTGCCTCAAGTAGAGATATATAGAGAATTTCATTATAAAACAGCAAGAACGACAACAAAAAATAAAAACTTGGAGAATTTAAATGGACTAAAGCCAAGTGTTCTGTTGTACATAGCGTTGCTATGAGTCCTAACCTACTGGATTTGTTGTTGTTGTTGTTGTTTGCCATCGAGTCAGCCCGGACTCATAGCACCTTACAATAACAACAATGATGGCAAGGCTAGTGCTTGGAGCAGACTGAAAGGAAATGCCTTTGATAATCTGGGCTGCAACCTCACCAGGAGCAGCACAGCCTCCCAGGCTGGGGTTGCTTAGAGGCTTCTGTTAGAATGCGGGCCTCCTCTCTGGACCCCCAGCAGGTTTCTTCTTACATTACATTTGAGGTTTACTTAAAGACTGCTGCAAGTGGTTTCCCATTTGTTGTTTTTACATACATAATTGTAACTCCTAAGGAGAAATATCCAACAGCGAAGGAGGGATATAACCTTGCTTCTTGCTTTGTTTTTCCAAACCCAAAGAGAAAGGGGCTGTTGGGGCAAGTCTGCCACTGAAGTACTACAAGTTTCCCGAGGCAGCTGCCAGGACAAGAGGGGAAGGACCTTGACTACTCTGGGGAACATGCTCTGAAACCTCAAGCCCTTCATGTTTCTGGAGAATTGGTCTCCAGACTGGAATCCCCACAACACGTGCTTCCTGCTCTTTCTACACTTCTGTACCTTCTCTATGACCTGAGCTCCTGGCTGAAGCAGGTTCTTACTCTCTCCTCCCAGCCCCAGAATCTGAGGGTACACCAAGAGACACTGAGCTCCTGAAACTCTGCTCTGGTTCTATGGGCGGCTGTCTGGGAAGCTAATGCACTGGGCCTGGACTCCTCAGCCTCAGTGATTCATGAGTGGGTCTGGTCCCAAAAGGGACAGCTGGTGGGGGTAGAGGAGGAGGTGGGAGAGGTACAGAAGAGGAATGGAGGGGAGAGGTGTAGGGATGAGGCACAGTTCCAGGAGAAGGTCTGAAGCTTCCTGGATAGGGTTCCCAGAATTACAATTAAAAACACAAGACACTCAGTTAAATTCAAATATTAGATAAACAGTGAATAAATTTTTGGTATAAATGTATTCCAAATATTGCATGGGATGTACTGCATACAGTATTTATGACAAACTTATACTAAAACTGTATTCCTAGCTTATCTGAAATTCAGTTTTAACTGGGCATCCATTATTTTATCTGGCAGTCACACTCTTGGACTGCCCTAAATCCTCCCTCCAGAGGCGTGTCTACAGAAAACAGCACCTATGGCAATTAGTTTTAAATTGCTCAGTGATCTCTCACAGCTGGCGAGAAACTGCGATGGCTGATAAAGACTGCTTGCTCATTGGTGCCTCCCTCAAGTGGAGCCCATGCCTTAGATACACCTCTGCCTTCCTCCCCCATCGAATCCACTCTGCCACTAGGTGAATTTCTTGGGAGCTGTGCTTTATTTTATTACTCTTAATTCAAAAGCCCACCACCTTCCATGGCCTGCAACATCAAATGAAACCTCTTTATCTGAATGGTCAACACCCTCCCCAGCTCAGACCCTCCCTCACGACTAGTGTCCCCTGAACCGTCCTTTGTCCCCCAGCCTTCTGCCTCCTGAGCTTTGGTTCTACTTACCCCAGCCCCCAAGCCTCTGTCCATTCATTTCTCCCTGCCTGGAACTCCCTCTATCTCCTTCATGTCTAGTTACGTGGTCCGCCTTTCGTATGACATCACTAGTTGGTGCCTTGTGGATTTCACTGCTGTTGCATATTTGTGATTTTCAGCTAAACTCAGACCTTGGCTTCTTGAGGGCAGGGACCAGTCTCCTTCCTGATTCCTCAACAATGCCCAGCTCTGGGGGCCTGAGGGGGTGAGTGGGAAGGAGGGCTCCTTGGATGACAGGAGGGGAGCAAAGAGCAGGGGAAACAGAGAAGGGGGACATGGGCAGGAAAGAGGAGGCTACCGGGTAGGCACAGTGGGATTATCTTTTTCTGGGTTGGCTCTCCCACCCCAAGGATCACACTGGGCTTTTACCCTGTGGCTCAGGTCGGTGCTCTGATCATGGCAGAAGAGGGGCTGCTAGGAAGGGTACCGCCAGGGCTCTGCTAACTGCTCCCTCCCAAACTTGCCCAAGGTGCCCCCTTTTCATTGGGCTTTTGGGCTGCAGGGAAAGCCCACTTCTTGGACTGGGACCTGGGTGATAAGGAACAGGGCAGAGGTGGCAGGGAAAGCCAAGAAGCAAAAAGAACAGTAGAAGAGAGAAGAAGGTGTGAGATGGAAGGTGGAGGCTTTGGGGAGCACCTGGGTGGGGGCGATGTGAAGGAGCAGGTTAGAAGCAGTTGGACACCGGTAAATTGGTGCGAACACCGCCCTGTCCTAGGTGAAGCTAATTGGTTTGTTATCTTTACCCACCAAAGCATTTACTTTGGTTAGTCGCCCGATCCACAAACACTTTCGAGGAGATGACATTACCGAAAGGGAGGAACATCTGCATCAGCTCAGCGTCCCCAAACTCCTGGGGCAGATGGTAGATGAACAGGTTACAGCCCTCGGGCCCTGCGGTGGGGGGGGATGGGGCGGGGGAGGAGGGGATGGCAGGGTGGGGGAAGAGAGAGACAGAGGAGAGGTGAGCGAGTTAGGCAGCGGCAGCAGGGAGGGGCGGGGCAAGGTTAGGAGGGGAAGTCTCATCCAAGATCCAAGGGCAGCCCAGGAAGAGTGGGTGTTGCTGAGCCCTGGGTCTGAGCTCTGGTCTCTGCTCTGCTCTTGGGCAAGTCAGTGAACATATCTGTGCCTCAGTTTCCTGTTCTACAAAATGGATCTAGTACCAGGAGGGTCTGGCAACTCTGGGGCTTCAGGGGCAGAGTGGACACAAGAATGGGATGAATGTGCCATGAGGCAAGGTGTGATCAGCTGTGTCCTTGGAGATGAGGTGCTGAGGAAAGGGAGGGGCAGGCGGATCTGGGAGAGCCTGGTGCAGAGCCTCCCTTCTGCCAGGCTCTTGCTTAGCAGGGGAAGGTGGAGGCAGAGGGCATCACCCAGGCAGCCATGTCCTGGGTTGGGAGAGGGGGATCACTTCAGCTTCCCGAAGATCCAATCTTGGACTCAGGGTCTAGAATCCCCGTGAGGTGGCACACATGCCACTGCATACAATCTGCCCTCCACAGTCACCCTCCCCTGCCCCCTACCTGACACTCAGCCCTTCACCTTCAAGGACCAGAAATTAATAATGCCTCTGCAAGCAGGCTAGGTGTGCAGGGACGGCTTCACATAGAGACTCAGTGGTTAGCCAGGGTACCCGCGAGCCTCATTACGTGAAAGACACCCATTTCTTACAACAACCCTGCGGCTTCTATCGCATGAGCTTAGGGTGTGCTAAGCACTTATATGTAAGTTAAGTCACTTACTCCTTAGAGCAACCCTGTAAGGTAAGTACTGTTGTCATCTCCTCTTCGCAGATGAGGAAACTGAGGCCCAGAGAAGTTAAGTCACCTGCCCAAAGTCCCACAGCTGGTAGGGATGGAGCCAGGATATGAACCCAGGCCATCTTCCTCCATAATCCTCTTGTGTTTTCATCTCTCTCTACCTATTCATCATAACTCTCAACTCCCCTCAGCACTTGAGGTCTTGCATTTCTGAAATCCCCAGATAGCTCAAGATTTACATTTTTCTTTTTTAATGGTCAGAATATTCCAGAAATCTTTCCAAGTTGCATTGCCTTTCCCCTGCCATCTTAAACAGAGTATAGCACATATAATGGACCCCTTTTAAAGTGACCTGTGGTCATTTCAGTGATAATTTCCAATCTGTGGTGGACACGGAAATGAAAGAGCTGCACTGATTAGAGTTGTATGAGCAAACTGAGCTTCGGAGCAGAGGCTAATGGAAACCTGAACATGGACTTCAGATGAAGTCTGTAAAGTTCCTACGTGGGTGAAGTGCCTTTCATGGCCAGAACTAGCTGTGTTGGTTCTTTGGGACCAGTGAGGTGGATAACCAGGTACTAGGGAAAGTACATCCTCCTCTTTGTCCCTTCTCCTCTTTCCTGCCCCTTCCACTCTCCTTCCTCCCACCATCCATCTCCGCTCCCTGACATTCATGGCCTCTGTACACCCTTCCGACCACCGAAACTGCCCTCTGAGCTGCTGACCTCCTTGACCCTTGACCCTCATGCTGCCCCATCTGCCCACCCCTACGGATGTGTCATCCCCCTCCCCAACAGCTGTCTCTCAGCACTCTGCCAGCTGACGGCACACGCCTGCTTCTGCTTCTGCTTCCAGGCATGCCCAGGGCTGGATCCTCAGGCTCTGGTGGCCCTCCTCTCACCCGTCCCTCCAACCATGCCATGTCCTCACTGGCTATATGGCCTGGAAACATGCCCCTTGATGGTGCCACCTACACAGGAGTTCCCTTGGGAGCAGGAACTAGCTTTGAGGCCCAGTCGAGACCTCCAGGAGGCCCACCAGATTACCTTCCCATCCCTTCCCAGAAAGCACCTGTGGCCTCTCCCTTCTGCTGCTCCCTGGTCTGCCCTCCATACTCTTTGGCTTGGGGCTCTTTTTCCTTTATACCTGGAAGGTTTTTCTCTCCACCCAGACTGGCGTTCGCCCTCTAGGGGCCAGCGGCATTTGCTTCTTCCTGTTTCCCCGATCCCAAGCCCAGTATGTGCCTTCTCTCCTATGCTCATCCCTACTTTTCAGGGCTCCCCAACTACTCCATGCCATGCTGACATCTGCCTTGAACTCAGAGCCTTGCTCCAAGTTCAAGTTCTGCAAGTTGTTTTACATTGTTGTTGTTGTTGTGTGCTGTCGAGTCGGACCCGACTCATAGCGACCCCTCCTTGGGTTTCCGAGACAGTATCACTATGGGCATGTATCACCATCTTCCTTCTGAGGAGTGGCTGGTGAGTTTGAACTGCCAGCCTTCTGGTTAGCAGTCAAGTGCCTTAGGCACTATGCTACCAGAGCTCCTGTTGTTGTTTTACATAGGTGCTGTCTATTATCCCTCACCCATGAGCCTACACTTTGTCTTTCTCCAGCTACCCCCAAGTTCTTACTGCATGCCCCCATTTACAGATTCTAGAACATACAGATGGTGTAGCTAGCAGGACTTCAAAGATCGTCTGGTCCAGCCTTATGAGAAATGGTGAAGCACAGCTTCAGGAATAGAAAGTGACTAGCCCTAGACAACACAGCAGCCCTGGCAGAGCCAAGACTTGAGCCATCCTTGAAGGTAACCTAAGGGGTAGACAGCCTTGGGCGATTCTGGCAAGGAAAGTTCTCCCCAGCAACCAGTGTGGCCTTATATTTCACTGACGTTACATGGGGAGGGGGACAACCATGATGTAGAGGCAGACTTTTGGCATGGCTGGAGGAATCCAACCTTCTTCTTCCTCCCTGCCTCCTACAACTGCTGGACATGGCCTGACTTGACTCACAGTGGCTCCAACCCACCTTTCAGCCCGCCTCCCTTCCTCCAAGCTCACCTTGTGCTTTGCTGTTTGCAGCAAAGCAGACTTTGCTCTTGCTGTTCTCCCTACCTAGAATGCTTGTCTCCCCAACTTCAAGTTCTGGAGACCTTCTTATTCTCCAAAGCCTACCAAAGCCTTTGCCAACAACCCCAGTATCATGAGCTGGCCCTTGAATACAGTGTGGTTCTGTATGTATCTGAGTCACATCCTACCCTCCCCATCCTCTGCTCCTTGTGGTGGTTCATCCCATCAGGGGGCATGGGATAAGAAAGGGAGAGCTCCCCGAGGAGAGGCTGAGTGGGGGGGCATGTAGACTGGTCTATGAGCAGGAAATGCAAGAGAAAAGGTGTGAGAAGGAAATCAGAGCCAGATGCGTGTGGGTAGTGCAAATACAGGTAGCCAGAAGTAGGGGCTGTTGTGTATGTGGGTCAGGGCAGCATTGGCTTGCAGTTGTGTGTGTGTGTGTGTGTGTGTGTATAGGAGGTTTAGAGGGCCCTGAGCCCACAAGCCAGAGCAGTGCAGGGAGCTGACTACAGGATGAAGGTAGATCAGCCAGCAGCCAGTGTAGGGATAACAGTAGCAGGGCCTGTGGGCACAGCTCTCTGTGACTCTGATCTGACTGATGTGGGGCTTCTTGGAAACTTGGACAGTAGAGGAGAAGGGCAGGGCAGAGCAGGCTCCAGGGATACAGCCCAGTGAGGAGCGTTCTGGTGAAGCAGGGCCAACAGGCCCTACTGTGCACCCATGTGAGTTCCTGCAGCTCAGCTCGGCTTAGGCTGGTGGAGATCTGACAGTTCAGGTCTCAGGAGTTGCTTAATGCATGCAAACTGGAGGGCCGTGCCTCATGTGCCACAGTGGAGGGAGTGACAGCTGGGTGAAGGAAGGGCTGCATGCACAGAGAGAAATCCACAGATGATTCCTGAATGGAACTGGGATGGCAGACTTGGGGTGCTTTCATCCTTGCACCCCTCTAGGGAACCATCATCATTATCCCTATTTTGCAGATGAGGGCTGTGAGGCTGAAGCACTGGGGTGATTTGTCCAGGGTCACATGGGGAGAAATGGCAGAGCTGGAGTCAAGTTTGGATGGATTGGCTCCAAAGCGCAGGTTCTCAGCCCTCCAAGCTCTGTGGCCTATGTGCAGCCTATCTGGTCAAAGAGATGGGCCAGCAGACCTCCAAGGTTCTTTCTGGCAGTAAACGACAGCCCACAGGTCCAGGACAGTCTGCTGCAGGAGCTGTGAGCCAGGCATTTAGAGCCAGCCCCTAGCCATGTAGGCTGCTGGGAGAGATGCAGTGTTCCCACTGCCAGGGTGACCCTTCTCATAGTGCGGAGGGGACAGGAACTTTGTTAGTATACCTGCCCCCTTACACTGAGCTCTCTGTGGGCAGATCTGCAGAACTCTGAGGGTGGCTTGCATTTCTAGCTTCCTGTCCTCCTCATGTGGGTCTCTAGGCTCTGGGGTGGGAGGATACTGAGTGTCAGGGTCTCTATGACATCCCTGCCACCTCAAGACCCACTGGTCTGCCTGCCCTGCCCCTACCAGACTTCTCAGGGACCTTTTCTTCCACTGGAGTCTACACCAGGTCACTCCCACAACCTCACCTCTACCCAGCCCATGGAGTCCTGCCCTGGTCACCCAAAGGGGTTAACTTCTCCTGTCAGGATGAACTAGCATGCCTATCCCCTTCCCCAACCATGAACATTCCTACATCTTCCCTTTCTGTCCACTGGCCAGATCCTGCCCCGTTGGAGAGTGGTCATTCTTGGATTCCACCTCCATCAGGGCCCTACCTCCTGACCACCCTAGTCTGTGCACCTTTCCCTTCTCAAAGCCCACAGCCATCAAAGCTGGAGGCATGGAATCCACCACATTCTCAGAGTCTCACCTCTCTCCCAGCTGTGCTGTCAACTCCCTGGAAACACGGGGAGTGGGAGGATATGAAAGGGGATCTTCGAGTAAAACAAGACACCCCAGGATGGGCCTCTCTCTTTTCCATAGGAACTGCTCTGGGCAGGGACAAGGCCTCCACTGGCAAGTGCATGCCTAAACTGATAGGTTCTGCTGAAGGGGTGGTTGAAGGCCTTGTTGGGGAAGTAATACACCCAACCATTTCTTGAGGATATGTTTTTTGTAGGCTAAGAGATAGGTATCTATGCTGTGTATCAGTCAGTGGTAAATGATGGAGGGGGGCAGGGAGGGGCTGTGTGTGACGCTGCAGCCATGAGTGCCCTCCATCCAGGCCCCTGCCCCTGGGCTGGTCACTGCTCTGGTTCACAGAGCCACCCACAAGAGCACCTCTGTGCTGCACCTCACAACCCTCCCGTACAACACACACCGTGGTCACCTTTCAACCGAAATGCCCAAGCCAAAGGCCAGGTGAGCAGCCTCTTGGGGAGAAGGGGGCGGGGAGGGCCAGGAGCCCCAGCTCACAGACTCACCTTCTCTCTGCTGCTGCGGTATCATTGGTGGTGGCTGAGGAAAGGCCTGGCTTATCTGACCATAGGCAGCAGGGTAGGCAGCTGCTGGAGGGCCAAAGACAATAGGCAAGAGCGAGAGACGGTGACAGTGACAGAGAGAGAGAGAGACAGGGTGGAGGCAGGAAGAAAGAGAGAGGTTTCAGTGTTGGGCAGTGAAAGCAGACCAGACAAAAGTGCATTTCAGAACGCCCACTTGAGATAAAGTCAGAGTTGCAGTTTTCTGTACTAATGAAGGACAAGCAACAGAGTGAAGATCAAGTGTGTGTGTGTGTGTGTGTGCATGCACACGGGTGTGTGCATGTGGAGGGGGGAGGCGAATTTAATCTGAAACAAGGGACAGTCCACACACAGGTGGATAATCCACAATGACAGACGATCAAAGTCATGACAGTGCCCTGGGCAAGATCACTCCAAAATGGGTGTTAGCTTCTCTGGGCCACGCTGACTCGAATTGTGCCTTGCGTGGGAAGTGGAGACCACGCAAGGGGTGGGTTGGCTTCTAGGGAGTCTGCAGGGGGGTGGTCTCAGGAACAGAGGATTGAGTTGAACAAACCTGATATTTTCTGTATTCATTTGGGAAGGGTCAGAGTTGGGACATGAAAGGCCAGCCCTTTCCCAGCCTTATATGGCTCCCAAAAAGGCAGGGCCTGAGGTCAGGGCTAGTGGGACTGGGCAGCTGAGAGCACTTCCCCCTGCATCTTGGCTGTAAGAGGCCAGCTCCACCCCAAGACCCCACGTTGATCCTCAGGGGTGACACTGCTGGCCCTTCTAAGCACAGGGAGGAAGGATCTGACCTGGTCAGAGAGCAGGGTACTAGCTAGGTGAAAATACTAGCTAGGGTGAGAATTGTTATGATGTATTGCCCAGCAAAGGTGTGAGCCAGTTGAAAGCCTGCCTTGGGCTCACTACTGTGGCTTGTCCCCTCCCATTCAATGAACAAGGCTACCTGCCTGCCTCAAGGCTACTCTTCTCACCTTTCCCTTCATCTACCTCTGGTTGCTATCCTCCACCTCTTCCTTGTTCCCTGTCATCCTTGCCCATGCCCCACTCCTGCTGCCTGGGTATGGCTGGAGGTGGAGCTGGTCTCCTTTCTACGGTCTCTCCTTTTCTCAAACCCAGGATCTACACTTCCTGGGGCAGTGACTGTGGACTGCAGTGGGTACCATTCCAGGTCCACCCTCGCCTCTGGTTGCTGCTTTGTGGCTCGATGCTCCTGGGGCATCATGGGGATGGGAAATGTGGCTGCAAAGACAAGTGGCTGCACAGCAAGACCACTCATCTGAAGTCCTGACCCATACAACCTCGAGGGTACCCCTGCTGGGTCAGATAAACATGACTCAAAGGCGAGGGAGCCTCCAGGGAGAGTCTCTGCCAGTACAGCACTTCCTTGCACGGCAGCTCCCCCCCAACTCTCCCCTTCCCTCTCCCCTCCCCCTGCTTGGCCCAGGCCTGGGAGTGGAGTGAGAGGGGACACTGGTGCCACGGATGTGGGGAGATGGACATGGCCGGGGAAGAGCCATGCAAGACTCGTGGATACTAACGACCTGCATACTGCTGCACTCCAGCGTAGGCCTGCTGCAGGGGGTCCGCGGCGGTGGGGCTCTGTGCTGCAAGGACACAGGGGGCAGAGGTCATTGGTGCCCATCCAACCCAGTCCCCCCCACACTGTGTACATGGGCTGTATTGCCCTTCTCAGCCACAAAGCACCTGAATTCTGCTGGGCCTTCAGTAGGGTGGAATGAGACTGGGCCTAGGTTCATGCAGAAGACTGTGAAGAGTGGGGAGCAGAAGCTAGAGGAGGGTTAACCATGAGGGACCCTGCCCTAGAGGAAGACTGCAGGAAAGTGGGTGAGGGGGCCTACAGGCTATCAGGAGGGTGGGGTCATCCTCACTGACCCTTGGCAGTGGCAGTGGCAGTGAATGAAGGAACAGCCTGCAGAACCTGGCTGAGTGAAAGAAGGGACATGAGGAGACCTCACTCTGCCATCCAGCCTCCTAGGTCACCTACTCCTGCTCAGACAAGGGAGGCCCCCCTCATCCTTAGGGCATTTGCACAGGAAGAGGTTTTTCACGTCTAGGACATGGCTGATGCTCCCAGCAGGGACTGGTCACACAAGTGATGTCTTGTCAGACTGGATAACACAGTTTGACCTTCCTCCTATCCTCTGACCTGAACTCACATGCCTACCACCCAGTGTAAGGGGTAGACCTGTGAACTGACAACCTGGCAAGGAACTCGGAGAAGCTGAACTGGGGAAAAGACTCTGTTCATTTCTGCACCCTTTGCTCTGCAGGCACTGTGGGCAACAGCCTGCAGCCTCGAGAAGTAGTGACCAAGCCAGTGATGACTGAAGTGGCCTTGGAGGCTGAAGAAGGTAAGTGGAAATAGATGCTCACCCACAGGAAGGCACCAGTCCCAATAACTTTGAGGCAAACTGGGTAACACAGAGTGGTGGCAAGAAAATCATCTTGGCATATCTGCCTGCTGCCCCAGGCCAGCGAGGAAGAATTTTCAAACTTCCCTTCTGAGCTCTTATTCCTGGGTTTGTCAGTAAACTTCCACAAGAGCAAGAGCACCTAAGCCTCAGGGGGGTGATGTGTATCTTCCCCAGACTAGTGGGGTTGGCAGTTTCTATCCATACTGCCCAGAAATTGTGAAGTAGCAGGGAACTGGGCCTAGGAGAGCACTGCTCAAAAGTGGGGGGTGAAAATAAGTCCCTTGTTCCTTGGGGCTGTCCCAGTCCAAAACCTTATCTCTGGTGGAGCCAGGAGCTCCCAGGAACAGTGAGGTGGTGGTGGTGGGGCTTGACTGAGGGTTCTCCTCCTTCTTTCTGCTCCCTCTGCCCACTTCCACCAGCCTCCCAGTGCTCTGAAGGCTGGGCTATATCTGGGTTCTCCTATTGGTCTCCCCAGCTGCTTGCCCACACAGAGCTTTCATGAAAACTAGAACAAGGTGCCCTTTCCTCTGGGCACATATTTGGTGCCCTCATGCAGAACTTAGATGGCAGCCCCACCCACTACAGTGCCAGGAACATAGTTAGAGCTCTGCAAACACTTGAGAGCGAAGAAAGGAAGAAATGTTTTCTCTTGGTCTTTAATGTCCGTGAGAGCCACCCCTTCAGGGTGATATGTGGCGGTAGAGGTCATAGCATGTGCGTTAAACATGCTCTCAATGAGCAAGAGGGGAGAACAGAGAGGCTACCTGAGGCTAGGAAGTGGAGAGACGCATTTCTGAGGCCGCTCTCTACTTCTCTGCTTAACGACCTCCATTAGTAACTGCCAAAGAGTGAACATTTTGAAGGATCTCGCTCATTACAGCGGCTCCAAACTCCGCATTTAAAGATGGTAAATTAATTTTTTTAATGTACTACTTTTCTCCTTTCCTTCCCTTCATCCCTCCCTCCTGCTCTGGCAGGGAATTGTTTATGGGATGTGGCAGATTGTTACAAATGGGGGAAAGGAACATTTCCAAATTCCATGAGGGAAATAGCTCACAGATGCTGATGGGGGGAGGGAAGGAACAGGTTTGTCAAGATCCAGGATCCAGATGGGTTTGTGGGCAGGCAGGGGTTGGAAATGAAGCCCCAGATGTGCTGGGGACTCTAGTTCCCAGCCCAGAGACCTGAAAACAGTGGGGCTTCTCTCCCTGCAGCTTGCTAAGCTCCTCCCCTGCTGCCCCCACCAGCCTGAAGTCTTCATCTTGAAACAACACTCCAGATCCTCGGGGCCCTACCACATACTCTCTGGGCTGCTCTGGCCCTTCTCTGTGGACTGAAAGCTCAATTATGGGATAAGCACTGGGATGGGATCAAGGTTAACTCCAATTTAGAGTCAAGAAATTGTCCTTCTCTGCTTCCCTCTAGCACAGTGGTGATGATGGTGAAGCTTTTAAATATGCATATGTCTGGGCTTCACTCTAGACACTGAAATCAGAATGTCTGAGCTTCTGTGATCTTATTAAGCTCCACAGTGGGTTCCAACAAGCAGCCAGACTGGAAAGCACTAATGGGCTCCTGCTGACCAAGGCCGGCCTCCTCTGCCCAAGCTGGCCAACCTTCTTACCATTGTCCACCCTGCCAGACAGACCCCCTCTCCTGCATCTGCACCTCCAGGATAGCCTTCATTCCACAGGAGTGGGCTCCTCACTCAGCCTCACCTGTCTAAGTCCTTTCCATCCATTTAAGTCCAATCTGAGCCTCTTCCTTGGGAAGACTTTTTGGACTTTTTCAGCCTTCAAAGAACACTTCTTTCATTTGAATCTTTTAGCATTTTGAACTTGAGAACCTTCACCCTTGATCAGACTTCACTTTGCCTATTGTCTTATTATTTGGGGATGTTTATTGTGCTCTTGACTAGACTGTAGCCCTCTGCAGGATGGGCTGTTGTCCTGCCTTCTTTCTGGGGCCCTTCTTGCATCTGCAGGCTGGGCACTTACTAATACACATGGGCACACTGCAACCTCCTCCTTCGCAGGAAGGAAGGCTGCACTCTTCACATCTTAATTACACTGCCCCTTCCTAATCTATTCAATAAGGAGCCCTGATGAACAGCAGCTAAGTGCTCTGCTGTTAACCAAAAAGTTGGCAGTTAAAACCCACCCAGCAGCTCCATGGGAGAAAGACCTGACCATCTGTCTCTGTAAAAACGACAGCCCAGAAAACCCTATAGGACAGTTCTACTCTGTCACATGGGTTGCTCCAAGTCAAAAATTGACTCAACAACCCCTAACAACAACAGTCGGTACTATAGCTTTCCACCCCGTGTCCCTGTCCTAATGTCAGCCCATCTTCCAGGTCTGAGAGTGGCTGCTTCATCTCAACTGGACACTTTCACCACATGTGAAGTGCCGGGTTTGACAGAAACAAAGCCAGCTAGGAACTGGCCTCCTGCATCTTCCTGAGTGCCGAATGTATTGAATGCTCCAAGGAACTCCAGGAGCTGTCTGAGGTGCTGATTCACTGTCCAACGACCTGAGCACAGTTTTGTGTGTGCAAAGGGACCAGACTGGTATATACTTGTCAGATTGCCAATCCATTTATGTCCATTTCATTCCCAAAATGGTCTTTTCCTACTTAACTCTAAATCTGATTATTTTAGCTTCTATTTCCTCACTTATTATGGAGTAAGTTCATGTTGGAATAACCTGCAGTTAATAGTCTCTCTATAAGGAGCTCTGGTGGTATTGTGGGAGCTCTGGTGGCATAATGCCTAAGGCATTTGACTGCTAACCAGAAGGCTGGCGGTTCAAACCCATCAGCCACTCCTCAGAAGGAAGACTGGGCAATCTACTTCCATAGAGATACCATCTGGGAAACCCAAGGAGGGGTTGCTATGAGTCAGGACCGACTCGACGGCAGTGAGTTTGGTTTTTTGGTTTGGTGGTATAGTGGTTAAGGTATTTGGCTGTTAACCAGAAGGTCAGTAGTTAATAACCCAGCAGTCACTCCGTGGGAGAAAGATGAAGCAGTCTGTTTCTGTAAAGATTTGCAGTCTGGTAAACTTAACAGGGGGTCTCCATGAATTGCAATCAACTCAATGGCAGTGAGTTTTTTTTGGAGTTTCTCTATAGGGCATCCTGATGGCACAGTGGTTAAAGAGCTCAGCTGCTAACTGAAAGGCCAGTGGTTCAAATTCACCATCTGCTCCATAGGAGAAAGATGTGGTAGTCTGCTTCCATAAAGACAGCAGCCTTAGAAACCCTGTGGAGCAGTTCTACTTTGTCCTATAAGTTCCACAGAAGTCAGAATAGTCTCAGTGGCAACAAGTCTGGTATTGTCGGTTTGGGTGGCATAACTGGTTAAGGGCTTGATTACTAGTCAAGGATTTTTTTTGTTCCAACCCACACAGAGGCACCTCCGAAGACATGCCTGGCGATCTGCTTCTGAAAGGTCATATCCTTGAAAACCCTATAGAATAGGTCTGCTCTGCACACATGAGATCACTGTGAGTTGGAAATGACTTGACAGCAACTAACAACAAAAATATAGTCTCTCTCTGTGAGGGAGCCCCAGGAGTGGTGTTCTTCCTCACCAATCAGACTGACACCTCCTCTAGGGTGAAGTTTTGGTCTCTTCTCTCCCTCCATTCGCTCCTTGAGGCTAGCTCACCCCAATCACATTTAGGGTTCCTTCAAGGAACGAGTGGGCAGGAGCAACACCTTTGCTGTTTAACAGCACAGGCAGAGGCAGGATGGATGAGGAGTGTATGCTGCATGAGGAAGGCAGGGCTGCCAATGTACTTACCTGGGTAGGGGTGGATGCCGTTGGCAAACACAGCTTCTGCAGCAGGCTGCCCATTGGCCTGTGGGGGGAGGCCGGTGAAGCCATTCACCCCAATGGGGGATGGGATGCTAGGCACGGCTGGTGCAGTGATGCCTGGAGGAGTGCTGCCACCTGGTTTCAGGGGTGAGGAAGGGTGGAGGAGTAGGGGAGGCAAGTTGAAAAACATGAGGAAGGATATCCGAAGGCATTCCACCCTGCTGACCCCAAGTACCCAAGAATAGACTTGGACCTACACACCAGGTCAATTATATCTGTGAAAAATGTCTCTGGTTATCTCCCTGCCTGGAGTGATTTTACCCATGCCAATTATATCCATCATTTAAGGCAAAGTCCAAGTGCCACCCACCCCATGAAGACTTCCTTGACCACTGACCACTCATCTTCAGAGCCCTTGGCTTTGACCACACTTGGTCCTCCTTCAGTCTATTTTCCAGTCAGTGGTTCTTGCTCATTCTAGCTGAGTCAGGATGGGCCATTCATAGTTTAGCTTAGCCATCAAGGAGTTTCTAAATTGCTGGTTTGACTCCCTTATCTAAAGCACTGAGGAGCTGACCTCCCTCCCCAGGAAGGAGTTTTGCTGCTCAGGTGGAGTTAATCTTAATTCTCTTAATGCACTTGCAAGGTTCCCTCGCACTGAAGGAGAGAGGTCACTGAAGAGTCCAGACTCAGCCCTATCTCATATGCAAAGTAGATAACTTGGCCTCCTCCAGCTAAGGCAATAGCGATGATGCAATGGGCACAAGGGTAAAATTGGGGTCAGATGACAATACCCTGTCCTCTTCCTATACCAGTATGGAATGCCGATAGCACTAAGACCTCAGAGTATGCAAAGTGCCTTCCTCTTTATCTAAGAAGGAGGATCTCTCTGTGGATGAGAACCTGGGGCTGGCCAACTGCCTGGGCTCATGAGTATCCCTGAGTTTAGGAAACAGAGAGAGCTACGGGAAATTGCCCAAGTCGGGCCCAGCAATGACACAGTCTTTTGTGGCTTTAGCTGGGAAGGGAACAAGGATCACAGTGATCCTGGGTTTAAGAAGTCTGCTGGTATGGCCTGGGCACAGAAAACCAAGGAATCTCAGTGAATGCAGACCTGAGGTGTTGGGCCAGCCCCTGGGACTAGACTAGGTTTCTCAAGTTGGACATTTGGGAATTGAGAATTCTTTGTTTTAGGTGCCTGTTCTGTGAATTGTATGATGTTTAGCAATATCCTTATCCTCTACCCACGAGATTGCAAGATCATATCCTCCCTCAGTTTGACAACTTAAAATGTCTTTAAGACACCACCAGATGTCCCTTGGAGGTTGAAGGAGATTTCCCCTGACTGAAAATCACTGCACTGAGTAACTGCAAAGATCCAATCAGAAACATGCTTTGTGAGCTGGGCTGTTTCAAACTCTCCTATGATAACACTTGTGGTTCTCTTTAGCTTGTTGTAAAGCTGTCTTAGACAAAGCAATGGGTCTAGGCTGGGTTAAAGGGAAATAAAAAAAAAAATGGGAAAGGGGCTTTTTCTGTGCTTGAGCCAGTGGTGTCACTAGGGTTAGTGTCAGTCAGTGCAATAACTTATGGTGTCATCCCTTCTACAGACCTCTTCTCATACCAGATCATACAGAATCCTCAGTAATGTTTATCATCAATTTTAATCATAGAATAATAGGTGATATAGTTATAAATTGCTTAACTGTAATATTCCTTAGATTACAGGAATACTAACAGTAAAATTGTTTTGTCAAATCTTTCTACATTGAATTACATTATTAGTTACAACATTAGCAGTAACTGAGTGGAAGCTTTTTTGATTTTTCTCCTTTTCCTTTAATTGCTACTTTATTCTCAAAAAGGTTATTGATGTATGTTGACAAATACTACTTAACACAATACTGTAGCTAAAACACCAGAAAATATGACAAAATCAACAATTATAAAAACTGGCAACAATGAAAACATGATTCTAAATGTCACTGTCATTTGGTAATAATGACACCTCTGACTAGAGCACATTAGAAAGTTCAAAAAAGTAAGTTAGCATAGAGTTTTCGCCTTGTAGGTATATTGACACATGTAAGCTGGGATTATGAAAAATGTTTTTGTTGTTATGATTAATTATAGAGATATTTTTACAAAAATAATAAATTCTATTGAAACATTGCACAATTTTATAGACAGTCATTTTAGCGTCACCCCCTCTGACAGTGTCACCTGGTGCAGTCTGAGTTCCTCATGCCTCCTCTAGTGATACCATTGGTTTGAGCCATGGAGCTCTGGTAGCATAGTGCCTGAAGCACTTGACTGCTAACCAGAAGGCTGGCGGTTCAAACCCACCAGCCACTCCTCGAAAGGAAGATGGGGCAATCTACTTCCGTAGTGATACTGCCTCAGAAACCCAGGGAGGGGTCGCTATGAGTTGGGTCTGACTCGACGGCACATAACAACAACAACATGGACTGAATAAGGCCACAGAATGGGCAGGGTTCTTCTCCCTTCAGACCTCAAAGGGGGATGTTTTCATTTCAATTTCTTTCCAAATACTGATTTTTAATGGAGATTGGGATGAAATTGTTCCCTGACATGGCTAAACAACTTGAATAAATTCCCAGCCTGCTGTCCATCTCTTCTCTGTGCCTCCAGGGATTAGAACATTCTTGAGATAAACTGTCAGAAGGACAGGCCTGCTTGAACCCAGACACCATGTGCTCTTGCTGCAAGATGGTTCCACTGGCAGCCCAAACTGGCCAACAAAATGCCCAGCTTGGGCCCAGCTGCTCCTGGCCAGGCCTTGTCAGCTCACCTGAGGTTGGGGTCATGGGTGCAGCAGCCAGGCCATTCATGTTGAGGGCTGCCATCTGCTGCATCTGGGCGGCGGCAAAGGCAGCCATGGGATTCAGGTAGCCGCCCTGCGCAACTGAGGCCATGAGGGCTGCTTGCTGCTGCATCAGCTGGGGCAGAAGGAGTGGAAAAAATATCACGTGCTTCCAGAAGGATAGCCCTCCCCATCAGGGGCTGCAGCTCCTGGAGACCAGCTTCCCAGGCCCTGAACCCCAGGGAACCCAGACATATCTCTTTGCCCCCACCCCCGAAGAGCCCATTTCTGCCCATTAGACTTCAATGGCTATCAGAGAACACCTTCCTGCAGAGATAACTGTATTCAAAAGCAGTAGTCTTTGGGGTCTTAGGACTCTGTTGTTGTTGGAAGAGGTGGAAGAAGGGAGCTGTTTCCATGGCGGTGGGTCAGCTCTGTGTAAGGCCTGCTGCACATGGGATGTGACACTCAAAACACTTGAGACGTGTTGGACGAGCCTCTGTAGAACTAAGTTGGCATGGATTTCTGACCAAACCATCCTAACCTGGAGCTCTGCTGGGTAGAAGTGACAGGACACTCATGGGATAAAGCCCCTGGCACCTCTGATGTCCTCACAAAGGCGAGAGGAGGCTGAGGAGGTTGTTGAAACTGGCCAAGGCTAGACATTGCTAAAGAAATGAGGTGAGCTTGCATTTTTAAAACCAGGGCCCTAGGCCTGGCTCAGGGCCACCCATGTGGGTGTTGTGGATACAAGCCTGGGAGGCATCTCAGGGGAGATGCTGGCAGAGTGGGCCCTATGTAAAGAAAGAAGACAGAGAGTCAGAGCCCTAAGGTGGGGCCTGGGGAAATGCAGGGACTGTGGATGTGAAGGTTTGGGGGCACCTCACAGGATTGTGACCAGGCATGACCGGAAGGCCTAAGGACACTCTTCAGAAAGTGAGGGGCAGAGGTGATTACAGAAAGACTGATCCCCCACACACCCCCAATCAGCCTTTCTAGAGTTCAACACTGATTTGGCTTAGGGTGAGGGGCGTTCAGGGTAACCCATTTTGCTGCCCACAGCCAGAGGCCTTCCAGCTGGTTCCCCTACTTCTTGAGATGGAGGACAGCAACTTCTGGACCAGCCTTCTCAACCTCCTCTCACTTTCACTTTCTCGGCTTATTCCTTGTTCCTCAGCTCTTTCTGCAATCAGAGTAGCACTGCTCTGGCTACAGCTAAATCTCCCGGCTGGCAGGGGCTCCAGGAGGTGTGGGTTTGAGGACTGCCACCCCTCCCGCCTAACCCCATGGTACCCACACTTACTGCCTGCGCATAGGCGCCATAGGCCCCGAATGGGATGGCCATGGGGTTGAACATGCCCATCTGGCCAGCCATCTGCTGCATTCGCCGCATCGTGCGCTCCTTGTCTGTGTCCGCGAACTTGACCACAAGACTGGATGAGGCTCCCTGCCGCCAGGATAGCACGTTAGGCCTAGTACCCCTGGTCACCCCTGCCCTCAGCTGTCCGTGCCCCAGGCCAGGGCCCAGCCGGCCCAAATCGTGGGACACTATGGGGGTAGATAGGGGTGAGAAGTGAACCGGAACCGGTGGTGACCCAGGAGTGTGGGGTCTTAACCCCATGATGGACATTTTCTATCTGGCTGACCTCGGGCCAGTTCTTTAACATCTCTGGGCCTCAGAGTCCTTGTCTGAGAATGGGGGAAAGGAGGTGCCCTTCTGTCTCCTGGGAGGCTGGGCCCGCGGCAAGCGCTTGGCACTGCATGGGCAGTGAGAGGGCGGGCAAAGCTGCTCGGGTTCGGGGAGTCTCTTCCTGCTCTCACCCCCGCCCCCGCCAGGGATCGCACTCACCGGCATGGTCTGGCTGCCATGCAGAGCGTTGATGGCCGCTTGAGCCTCAGCGTGGGAGGAGTACTTCACAAAAGCGCACCCTGGGGGGACGGGAGAGGCTGAGCCACTGGTCCAAGGGCCCAGAGGAGGGCCAGACGAGAGAGCGGGGTGCAGAGCCAGGGGCGGGGAGGGAAGCAAGGGGATCATCCCAGATGAAAGTAGAATGGGAGAGACATAGAGATTGAGAGAGAGACCGAGAAACAGAGATAGAAAAAGCCACGCAGAGACAGAGACGGAAAGACCTGGACGGGCCCGGAGACTTAAAAGCACCCTTAAGTCTCCCCATCCTCCTCTGGCCTTGGAGGTGACACCTCTCCATCGAGGGCGGACCAGCTTTTTTCCCAGGCCCGGCCTCTTTCCTCCCGGGCTCGCTGGCAGGTCCC